ATAGACATAACTCAAAGAGACATTGTTTCTAGGCAACGACAGATGGCAGGAGGTATCAGAGGAAAATGGGTAACACTAAATAAGCAGGGGTTCCAACCACTGTGCAAAATTCAATTAGTCATTATTTCTATTCATCGATAGATGGCAGCGTCATCACCTAGGACTTATTATAGTAGACCAATCTGCGACTTATATGAAATAAAAAACATGACATGCAATGATCATCCATGTAACTGGGAAGTTTTTTACACACTCCATCTAAAAAACGTTGCAACATCACTCTTGAAGCCAGAAAAGACTGACGATCCGGTTTCTGTATCTTTTAACAACGTTGACAGGTCCGAAGAGATGCGCTAGTAATTTTAACCGTCACTTCATATAGCACCCTCAGAGTGACAGAACGAACAAATAAATGAAGCGTCGTATTTGATCTCTTCAGGTGGAAGAAGAGCCATTACAATTTGTCTTAAAAGATCTTGCATGTGCCATTGAAATCACCCAAGGAGTATGGCCTGATGGAATCTCTGTGGATATATTAAAATAGCTGGATTACCTAACAAAATTCCTGAATTTGTTTGTCAGCCACCCTAATATTTCCCGATGACTGGAAAATTGGCGAGATGTTCCCACTACTGAATCAGACAAGGTATGAAGGAAAGGTGAATCTTAGAGGTCGATTTCATTATTGTAGCTAATTGCTAGGCTGTTGAGGCATTACTACTCCTAAGCATTCGGGAATGCTATCAACTTGCTGATTATCGACATGGGTTCCGGTAGTCGAACGGATCGACAACAATTTTGTTCGCTAGAAAAGCCCGTACAATAGAACAATTATGGAGGCAGCTCATCCTCGATGTTATATTTCCCGATGACTGGAAAATGGACAGGATGGTCCACTACTAAATTTTTTGTACCCCACTACCCAATTTTGTAACGTTAGATGTGTCGTACATAGAATTCAGAAATATGAAGTCAATGGCCATAGTAAATGTAAAACATGGAGTTCCCCAAGTAAGGTTGATATCTCCGGCATTGGTTATCCACCACCAATCTAGTATTCCCCGCCCACAGATCATGTCATGGACATATCACAGTTTTTCCACAAGAAGAATATAAAAATATCAACCACGAAGTCTACAGCCACACTGTTTACCGCATGGACATAGGAGATGTGGCTAATTTTAAATGTATGGGTTGATATGTCCATAATTCTGATCACTAATTACTGCATGATTCTAAGGACCACATTCTCATGTCAATATCGGACGGTATTTAGAGAGCTGATTAAGGTACCTTGTTAAAAATGTTAAAGCCAAAAGCCAGACCGATTCAGCGGTACTGCAAAATGGAAAATATTGAATACTGTCATAATGCCGCCCTGAGGACTGCAATAAGGTGTCATGACTCCAATATATCATTTACATACGAAGACGGAGATTCTTTCTACGCCTCAACATAACAAGATTAGAAAAGCAGCCATCCGAACCACCACCATATGGATGAGCATCCACTGATCAGATATGTTTGGAAGGATCTGCATGATCTCTATATGAATAGGCCTATCAAATAGGATCGAATAGTATTCACACTGATGAAGTTGAGGAAACAATTCGAGAATACGGGGTGAATACAACCCTGGGAGAACTCCTGTGAGCAAACCAGAGTGGTTTTGGAACAATTGAGATGTGAGTGGTGTAACCGCCTATTAGGGGTTAATTGATGGGTAATTATATCTGTTCGGCATTTGGTAATGGACCATTGATGACAAGCTACACCTCTTCAACTGCCCAACCAAACCTACACATCTAATTTAGTCTTCAATATGGACCCAACCTGCACACATATTTTCTCGCAGACTTTTTTTTAAAAAAGGAGAGGGTCACTGTCATGTTTGTGTAATAGTCCACATGACACGTTACACCTCTTCAATTGGCCAGTCAAAACTACTTACCTAACCCCATATTCACAATCTGTACAGGTCGCAAATTTGTTGTACCTGGATTATAAGCAGAGAAATACGCAAAAGCTGCTACAAGAACAACAACCACCTAATTCAAATTGTTCAGTCAAACACACTCACCTGATCCGGTCTTCACTGTGAACACAACTTGCCCAGGTATTTCCGCCCAGAATTTTTGAACCTGGAGGGTCTCTGTGAGGTTTGTGTTAAAAGTCCACATGACACGCCACACCTCTTCAGTTGTCCAACCAAACTCACTCGTCTAATCCCATCTTCACTATGGACGCATTTCAAACAACTCTACATCATCTCTAATCTTAAACCAATAATTTATGGAGTTTCTTTAGAATAGCATCGTCTGATTTTTTACCATAGAATTTGACTCCTTAAGTTTCCGGTAGGACGAAATCCTTTTTGGGGGAAAAACTCAATTAAACTCCAACAGGAACTAATGACTTGGAAGTAATTATATCATCACTTCTTGGTAGTGCTCAATTATATACGTCTACAAAGATCGAACAGTGCTCATTTATGTTTATCTGTATGTACACCTTCCATAATATTCCTTTTCCCAACCTTTCCCTCTAATACTTCTCTAACACATTTATATGTTTTCCTGCTGTCCTTCGTCAATCATTTGAGCAATGTGGTAGTTGTTGTTGCTCGACAATTATATGATGACTATAAGTTGCAAGCTGGCGTACAGCAATTCTCTTCATTGAAAATCACTACAAACCACAATAATTTCCATCGTCTCAGCATCAACATCATCATCATCATTTATGCAATACTTTTTGTGGACCATATTAACCAAGCCCAATGCAGTTGTTCATCTTGGTTGTATTTTTGTTGTTGTTGCTTCAGTTAATGCCCGGCCAACAAATAGCAATTTAATGGATGAAAAGGTAAAAATAAAAGCACTACTGACTTCACCAATGGATTCTTCTTCAGTCCGTATCGAGAACCGTACGTACTAAATAAGTGTTCATTTGATAATTGACTTATTCTACTTCATCTTTGTTAGTGTTGTTGTTGTTGCTGCTGTTGTTGTGCAACAACCATTCGTTCGTACATTGCCATTTCACATAATACACTTCGAAGCACCCAGGATTTTTGTAATACATTTTCTTTCGACTTATTGCTGGATTCATCGGTCATAAGGCCAAGAATGTATTGCAATTTGCAGTGCTCATTCAATGGTGGAGATGCTACCGTCCATAGACCAATAATCGTGGACTACCTATGGGGATTACTTCATCGTATATTCTGATACAATAATCTATGCACATCATAACAGGCGGGTAGTTATGTATGAGAATGTATGTTTGAAATGTTTTTTTTTTCTTTTTTTGGCTATTAGTTTTCAAATTTGTTACATGTTGTGCATTTTCTGCACAGTAGTATTAAAACATTACTTTAGCATAGATTTTTAAAAATGTATCACAGATTTTAACACATTTTACAAGGGCTACTATATATATATATATATTATAAAAAAACTATATTTATCATAAAAAATAGTTTGATGGGTTTCAAAGTATTCTTGCGTACAAAATAGGGATAAGTTAAAATTTCCGATGACTGGAAAATGGGCAGGATGGTCTCACTACTGAATCAGACAAGGAATCAAGCAAAGACGTATATTATAGGCCGAGTTCACTTTTATAGCCAAGTGCTAATGCTTTTGAGGCATTGCTACTTTTAAACATTCGAAAATGCTATCCACTTGCTGATTATCTACTCGGGTTCCGGAGGCAGAACGGTTGGACAAGAGTTTTATACTCCAGAATAGCTCGTGTGATAAAAAATTTCGTCAAAATGTTCAAGGCCGTCGAAGGAACTTCACAGTCCAAGTTTGAAACGTTGGATATGTGTCGTACATGGAATTCAGAAATAAGAAGTCAATGACCCGTAGAGTAAAACATGGAGTTCCCCAAGTAAGGATGATATCTCCAGTATTGATTATCCTCTACTGTTCTGCCCACATATCATGGCGTCTGGGATAAACATTTATGACATAGTTTGAATGCGTATCTCGTGGACATAGCAGAGTTGTCATAAGTTAATCGACATTCGACTAATCGACTTTTTCTATTTAAAAGTCAAAAAGTCGAAGTCGTCCTTTGATCTTTGAGGAAATCGCATTGTCGACCTTTCAAGATCGACTTCTTAATACAAACTTAGTTTATTATTGCCCAAAAATTTCACATTCCAGAACTTTATCTGCTGACAATAAATCATATGAAAAAAATCAAATTTTTAATCGATTTTGCATCAGTCGGTAAATGTCGAAAATCGATTTTAAGCAGGTTTGATAAAAAACGAAAGTTTGAAATGTCAATTTTTTAGCCAAAGGCAAAAATCGAAAAGTCTAAAAATCGTCTTTTGTGCTGGACTCCGTATCCCTAGCCCAAACCAATTATAAAACCACATTTTCCACTCAGATTGATGCAGCTGCAGAACATGTCTTTAGTACGCTTAACAGCACAATCTGGCTGGCTTGTTCCGATACGTGAGATCTCGCACTGTAATGGTGTTAGTTTTTGGAATATTTCCAAAGACATCAGGCAACCAAATTGTAGTAAACCACTCGAAATTTATTACCCTACATTGCTCAACCGAAACTGAGGAAATAGGCAACATAACACAATTCATTGCATTGTGTCGTCTTCGAAGACAGACATTGTCATGCGAAGATTTAATTTCATGAAGTCACTGTAAACAACACAACACATGATATACGTCAAACCGTACTGAGTACTTTTATACTAAATATTTCCAACTTTTCAATGGAAGAAATGGTAGGAATGATAACTGTATACATAGTTTTATTTATTGTAGCTTCTTTATTATCATGTCGATATGTCAATCTCATCAGCAACCTCTCTGCTAGTGATATATGACAATAAAATCCGTGCCTTACAACCGCTCATTAAGAACGATCGTCTAGGAATTGGCTCAATAATTTATAGTACAGACGAGCTGCGGCTGTCTGGTACTTTTTTTTATCATATATGCTAAAGACATATTTTCCTATATTTTAAACCTTGTGTATATAGAGAGAAATATTACAATATTTACAGTATAACCGGATTCGTTAACATATCGCAATTTTTCCGCACGTCCTCAACATTCACTAAACTTGAACATACATACTCAGTTATTTTTAATTATAAATTGAAAATTACACATACCTTTTTCTTGCCATCTCCCACTAATTTTGTTGTATGCTGATCGTCTTCATTCAAACTGGCTGAACAGGGGTCGCGGTATCTGCAAATAGACCAAAAAAAAAAAAAAAAAAAAAAAATAGAATTAAGTACATTGAAAGAATAATATTCATTAAGTTAATGACATTTTACTTCAAATCAATGAAAGTCGTCATTGATTTTGAAACAAAGTAGAGCTTAATTGCTTAAACTAAAAGTGTATCACTTAAAAGAATTTAATAAATTTGTACATTTATATAGTGAACATATTTCATTAATGCAATGAAATTATTTATTGATTTTATGTAACTGTTTCATTAATTTTATGAACAATAAATATTACGTTAAACTAATGAATTTTGTCATCGATTTTGAAACAAAGCTGAGCTTCATTACTTCGAAGAAAAGTGTGTCATTTAAATATATTTTTATAATTTGTTCATTAATGCAATGAAAAAAGTTCATTAATGCAATGAAATAAGTTCATTAATACATCGAAATATGTTCATTAATGCAGTAAAATAATTCAATTGATGATGAAATAATTTTATTAATGTAGTGAAGCGCCTCAATTTAAAATACGAAGTTTTTTTATTAGCAGAAATTCATTGCTTTGGCGAAAATTGTGTAATTTTAATACATTTTGTTCATTAATTCAATGAAATAAGTTCATTAATACAACGAAATCCATTAATGCAGAGAAATAATTCAATTGATGATGAAATATTTTTTAATGTATTGCATCGTTAATTGATAGTGCGTCTTTTTTAGAGTTCTACATAGTCACAAAAGAAAATTCAGCAAATTTAATATTCATTTCATGCTGAAAGTATTTTGGACTGGGAAAGACAATAATACAGTTATGTTATTATAATTATTATTATATATAATGATCATGTTAACAATGATATATTTTCAGTAAATATTTCTATTGTATTTCTAGGAATTTTATTATTCACATATATATTTTATTTTATCTATTAAATCTATATCATTCAATAAATAATCTTTAATATAATGTATGTTTTCATAGTATATATGCAACATTTCATTATATTAATGAAACTATTTATCATGTCGATGAAACTCTTCATTATTTTAACGAAACTATTAATTGCAACAGGGGAAATGACATCGGTTGACAGAATGCATTATTTTTATTTCTTTCACACATTCTTCATAATTCAAATTACTAATTTAATTACATTTGTTCTACACCATTTAAATTTTGGCCAACAGATCTCTGTCTCAATTACAACCACAAAACTAAAGCCATTTGAAAATGTTTCGAAATAATTTTCAAGCTGTCTGTAAATTTAACAGACCTGTGATTATCTTTCTTTTTATTTGTTAATGAAATTATGAACTGTAATTAAATAGACATATTTCCATCATTAAATACATATGAGTATGACAAAATGTGAATGAGTAAGTGTTTATTTGGAAAGCCAACCAAGCAAACCGATATAACCGACAATGTAAACTCATAGGTATGTCATTCGGAATTGTATTTTATATAAGACAGAATATTTTTTATGGAGGTTTATTAAATGCTATTCCAAAATATACATTCTAATTAAAAGGATTTAATGAAATTTCAACAACGCATTCTGTAAATTCATAAATGCTTCATCTAACTTCGTATGTTGCTTTTGCTTTTCTTGTGGAATCGTTATATTCTGTTTGTATTATCAAACACTATACCATAATTTTAGATATTGACATTCCTAGTATGCCATACATCAATTTACTGGAAAATAGTCGTTGCGGTTTCCCATTCTTCTTCTTTTTTCCAAATCCTCTCAACACATTTTACAAAAGCGTTAAGGATTTTACATGATTGAGTGAACGACTAAATGAATGTGGATAGAAAATACTTTACAAAGATAAATTCACTGTAATATTCGAGCATGGGTAGTGGCTTAACGAAATAACTTTTTGCGGTTTTATCTTTTAAATTGCAGCAATATAGAGGGAGGAGTTTGGGGGTTATAGCAAATATAGAAGGATGATGAGATTTACGTTATATCCAATAATTTGAAAACAAAAAAGTGTGGAACATATATTGCTTATCACTCTGTGGTCTAGATTACATACCAGAATTTAACCCAAACCCACCACATATGGCAATGGAATATTCTATACAATTCTGCGATGGAAATACAGCGCGAAGACCTTATCTACATGAGAGACCCACAGTAAGACCTTTAATGGACACAATTCCATGTTGATCGGACAGAGGTGATTGAAATTGGACTAATTAGGAGGAACATTTTGCAAAGCTTCTGGTCAAGTTGGGGCGAACGATTAAATAGGCTCTTACTCACGAATGCTCATAGCGAGAATTCGATTGTTTTCACTTTATCGCCAATGATAAAATTAGAATGAATGAACAAGTATTTGCAATCTCTCATTGTACGAAAAATTCACGAACGATAAAACTTCGTGGCATGCGCCATCGACACGATCTTTCGCGAGCATTCGTTGGGGATGAGCGTTCATTCAAAAGCAACAAAAAGCACAAAGATTATAAAAAAGTAAACACACCGGCGATGAATGTTCGTTTTCATTCGCGAACGAATGCCGGAAATGATTTCATTCACCAATGCAATGAACGATCGCAGTTGTGTGCTAGCATTCGTTTGTAATGTGTGTGCGAACATTGATCTTGCGAATGCTTGGTAAAGAGTTTATCGCGATAAATGCAATCGCAAAATGAGCACATAAGAAAAGATCGCATTTTTAATCCTTCTCGAGTGAATTTTTGCACACCCTGCTTCAGATATCATATAGTACCGGTGAAGATGACGGTATAGACCACCTAGCCAAGATTATAAACCACAGTTGCCGATGGTCTACCAGCCGATCTATTCAAGACCCAACTGATTAGTACAATTTGGCTGAGGGAATACATGCCCAATGATTGGAACCTCAACATTCTGTGTCCCGTGCACAAAAAAACGGATCTGTGCCACCTATAGCGGAATTAGTCTCCTTCACATCGCATGCAGGATAACTTCAACTGACACAAGGTCAGCAATTAAAGTCGAAAAGGAGCTCTTCAATACCGAACGAGGGTCCCAACAAGGTGACACTTTATCGTATAATAATTTTAACATTGCGCTGGAAAAGGTCATACGAGATGCAAAGGTGAACAGAAATGACACTCTGTACACCAAACAACACATGTTACTCGGCGATGACATCGACATAATCGATTGAACATTGCGAAAGGTAACAGCTACCATGGAACAAATTGAAAAGGAGTCTGCCAAATTGGGACTGGCAGTAAATGTCAAGAAGACCAAGCTGGTGGTATCATCGCGTAAGACGTCCAGTAGACTCCGTCCAACTGCGGAACTTGAAATCTACAGCCGAGATGTATGTTCGCGAACGAACTAGTTAAGATGGACGATTCAGTTCAAAAAGCAAGTGAACTAGTTCAGTTAAAGAATCGTTCAGTGTATGATTCACCATCGTCGTTCACGAATGTGTCTGTGTCGACGAACTATTGAATTACTGAACTAAAAGAACAAATAGTTCATTCATGAGAATTGAACTAAGGAGAGCGATGTTCTTAATAAACTAGAAAGTACAACTCTACATAATGGGTTGCCAGGGGTTACAGAATCTGCCAAAGTGGGACTGACAGTAAATAGCGTGAAGACCAAGCTAACTGATGGTATCAACGCGCAAGACGTATAGTAGACTCGGACCTTTGAGCTTAGTCAGTGATCTTAGTGTTGGCCAACAGATGCTTCTATGGTCTGAGTACGCAATTTAGGAACAAGGCCCCCTCTCACCGGACCAAACTCACACTCTTCACGACGCAGATACTACTCATGTTTTTGTATGGATCTGAAGCATGGGTACTTGCGCAAGCTGATGAGGCGGCTCTCGGAGTGTTTGATAGAATTTTTTTCCGAACGACCTAGGAGGCCGATCTGAGTCGACGGTGAATATCGGCGTCGAATGAACCACGAGTTATACCATCTATACACGTACATCGACATAGACGGATCGTGCTGCAGCGATTACGGTGCCTAGGCCATGTTGTGTGAATGGATTAGGATGCATAAGGTACATAAAAGAGAACCAAATCATGGTTCACGCAGAAGGAGAAGGCCGCGAATTCGGTGGAAAGTTCAAATCGAAGACAATATTTCGAACATGGTTTTTCAAATAGAAAAAACTGTGCACAAAAGCGACGCCCCTGCCAATCTTTTTTAAGGTCGGCTTATGGAACAAATGTTCTGTCTCGAGCCATCTAAATTAATAATAATGTATATCGTTTTGATCCGAAACACCTGATGGAAATAGAACATATTAAAGTTATTATTTTGAATGTGGAGGGAATGTTTTCATTCGGCCCGGCCGATTTAATCGACCTTTTTACTTCCGGGTTTTAAAAAATGGACACAAGTCTTACATTTTTTGTTGGGGGTAAATTTCACAACATGCTTAATTTCGTGGAGGCAGCTAACCCAACAATTTGTAAGATGAGGTAATATGAGACTGCGGTATTAGAAATTTTTAGCCTGATTTTTCGACGTTAAAAATGTAAATTAGTTTCATAGTGCATTCAAGGATTCTCGTGTGTAGAAAACCTTCTGTAAGAAACTTATTTACAATCTAAGAAATTTGTGAAAATTTATTTTTTTTGTATTGAAAACTCTGCTGCAATAAAAAATCATTACCACCCCACCCCCTCAAAAAATAAACTTACCTTGATGGACAGGCACACAGCGGTTGAGTGTAATTCAATCGGACATAGACAGCATTGCACACCTGTTGTATGGCACATTCGGGCAACAGGTAGATATGTTGATTGTGTGGATAGTAATGATATTTGGTGGGTTTTGCACCGTTCAATGGTTTCTGTAATGAAAGTGAGAAAAAAAAACAAAAACGAAAAAATGCGAATTAAAAAATTGAAAGGAAAACAATATGTGTGTATGTAAATATATGTATGTGTAATGACAGTTAAAAAGTTATTCCGAACTGGTGTTGTGTTAATTGAATTGAATTTTTTTTATTGAAATGTGAAATCACTTTTCATTGGAAAATCTTTTTTTATTAATTTTATTTGATTTTTGGTTATTTTGGTGGGATTAATTGGAATCGAATTTGCAGATTTTATAAAAAGTATATGAGTTACAGATGGAACAAGACGGAGTGGTATTACTTGAACATAGTTAATATTTCTCTGGGATTAGTTGTTCATGAATGGGCTTTAGAGTTGTATACAGTCCACCATAAATCGCCCATAAATCAGAAAAGCACCTTGAATTTTTTTAGTCGAGGGTATAAAAGGAAGAGACAAGCCGGACTCTCGGTAAAACAGTGCGGATCGCCCAGCATATCTGGATATTCCCGAGGCTACGTAGTGAAATTATCGGCGGAAAAATAAGGCTAGAGTGGGGCAATCTAGTGCACTTAGCGGATCGATCTTTCTCGTTCCTTTTTTTAAAAAGGAACCGTAGTAGGCCCATATTTAAAAGTGATTTTAACCGAACCGAACCGAAATACATAGCCGTCGTGAGCCTTTATTTAAAAGTGATTTTAGCAGAGTCAAATTAAAGACCCGTCGTGGGCTTTTATAGAAAAGTGTTTTAACCGTGAAAAGCCGTCGAGGCCGTGTGAGTGATTGATTGTGAAGTTAAAAAGGCATAGGGTATCGAAGCCTAATCCGGATCACCTCAACCACCAAATTACTCCATCTTCTCTAAAGATCATCGTCCAGAATGCCACCACATTTCCAGTTATTTGTTGTACCATCAGCCGTGCCGGAGCAGAGCCAGATGTTGCAGACTTCAATCGCAGTAATTTTAGTATATGGTATTTGTATGTCAGGGGGGCTACTCTGTATTGCGATGCGTGAGAAAAATTGTAACGCATCGCGTAATTGGTACTCTCTAATTCGTTTTCGTATCTCCTTTCGCATCTACTTTACGCAAATGTAGCATCACCGCACTCTGTAATACGAAAACGCATGCCAAACTCGTTCGTTAAGCGCAAATATCTTGCGTTAACAAAATAGCAAACGCAAAGGAAGCGAAACATATAAGTAAGGTCCATTAAAGGTTTTATTAAATATAAATTGTAAATTATTTTAAGTAAAAGGCAAAAAAGTCACAGTTACAGGCTCAGCAACGTCAGTTCCTAACTTCAGTAGATTTTATGGGGCAACACAGTGATTTGGCAAAGGGACAGTTGCAGAGTTCAAATGCGAAACAACGCATTCTTTTTAAAATTCTTTTTTTTAATTCGTTCATCATTTTTGTTTAAAAAAACACTCGTACCACACAAAAATATGTTTTCATTTACAATTTTTTGACGTTTCCTTTTGTCATTCTTCGTTATTGTTTACTTTGTGGCGACAGTGTTGCCCTATTTTCAATTTAGTTTGCGAATGCGTTTGCTTGAACGTTACAGAGTACCAAATTGTACTCTTAACGCATTTAGCTTTCGCATCGCACTTGATTTCGCAACGCAATACAGAGTAACCAGTTTCTAATTTAAGTTTCTAATTTAAGCGAAGCACTCTCAATTGGAAAACATAAAACTACATTCAATATTTCAATATAAATTTTCTGTGAGCAACTCTATCCCAGCAACCAGATGAAACTTGTCATTACAATCGCATATGTCTATGTTTCTGTATAGTGTCCATATAAAGTTTCCGCCTTGTATACGTTTTATTTCTGATACAATCCAAATTTAACTTTTTATATATATTTAATTGTATGCCAAAATTGGGCATATCATCACCATCCGTACACTAAAAAATACCCAAATCTCTTAAGGCTTTCCAGTATTTTCGACCCTTTCAGCTCTAAGTGTCAATAAGTTTGATTTTCACCAAAATTGGTGACTAAACATCAAAGTTCATATTTTCACTTTTTTGTTTTTTTAGTATCTTTGATTGATTTAAACAACACCAAAAGGAAGGTGAAAATTGAATGCCTGACGACGGACTGTTTGACCCGCTTAATATGTCAACATAAATTGAATAAATTTTCCCTAAACACTTTTGGGCTATTGGAAAAAACTTTAACGTATACCAAAAATAAAAAAAACAAATAACTGCAAAAGGGGAATTCTTGTTTTGGGAAAGAAGAAAAAACAACAACAACAACACTTCAATGCAACTTTCTCAAATGAAATTTACACTCCTTGTAAAGAAAAACACGACGAAGGAGAAGAGGGAGAAGAAAAACACATCACCCAAAAGCGTTGCCATTGTCAGATCACATACTAAGCAATTTTAAGTTTTATAACAATTTTCGCATTAACAAAACAAAGTAATACTTCACTCCTTCCTCCCAGCATCTTCGTCAAATCATTGCGGGTGACAAAATACACTTTCAAACACTTTCTTTTTCTTATTCTTTGCAATTGCTGTTGTTGTTTCTGTTATCTGTAATTTCTGATATATTTTTGTGCGAGGGAACTGTGTATAGAATCATGAAATGATGTTTCATCGAAGTTGAATAGGAGATTACACTGGGGAGCAACAAAAGCAAATATTGGAATATATTGAAAAAAAAAAATATATATCAAATTAAAAATCCGACTGTAGTGTAAGTTCTTCCATTTTTCCCAATGTTGTTGGTGTGTGTGATTTTTTGTGGAAAATATTTTGCAAATCCCCACACCTAATTTCTAGCATTCTGAAGTTCCTAGCCCACTTTTCCAACCAGAGTGTCTGTACTTTTCTCAGAGATAACTGCAAATGTAAGAAGAACTAATCAACCTACACACTAATATCCATCATAATTAAAATTTGAGTACCATTTAGTTCCTTCGTTCTCGTTTAGCACGCATTTCTAAAACTACCTCCATATCTCAACACTACACACCAATTCTGGCCGTGTCATTTGTTACCTTTCGTACTCTTGTAGTAGTTATTTCCAGAAAGTTCGTAATTCGTGCTGTAATCTTAATTTTACCAAATTTAGAACATTCGTACGAATTTTAAAAACTTCCTACATAGCCTAATTCTACACCACAATAGTGATCCTAACTTTAAATGTCAACATTTTAGCTCTATCAGTTACACAAATCAAAAGTTTTTACAATTTAGTACATATTAGTACTAATTTTCCAATCCTACAGCCCAAGAATGATTGTTAATCCAATTTTCTGGATTCCAGCTCTATCGATTAACCCAAATCCAATTTGCACCAAGTTCAATAAGATTTAGTGCACATTTGCACGAATTTCCAGAACTACCAATAAACCCAATTTTACATTGATCCTAACTCCAAATTTTTGGATTCTAGCACTATCGGTTCAACTCAAATTCAAATTGTACCAAATTTAGTACCATTTTGTACGAATTTCCAAATCTTCCTACCCCAATCCTACATCCCAACAGTGATGCTAACTACAAATTTCCGGATTCCAGCTCTATCGGTTGACCCCAAATTCAAATTGTAACAAATGTAGTACCATTTAAAAAACATGTACGAATTTCCTAAACTACCTACATACCTCAATTCTATAAGGCGGTAGTAATTTTCATATTTCAGTGTTCCGGTTCACCCAAATCCAAATTGTATTGAATATGGTACCATTTTGTACTTTTCGTACACATAAGTACAAATATCCAAAACCACCTACATACCCGAATCCTACACTCCAACAGTAATCTTATTTCCAAATTTTAGTGTTCCAGCTCTATAGTTTCTCCCAATTCCAAATTGTACCAATTATAGTAGGATGTAGTACTTTTCGTACACAAAAGTAAAACATTTCAAAACTTCGTACATATCCCAACACTATTCTCCATCGACAGGAATATAGGTCCATCCGTACCATAAAATTAAAATTGTACCAAATATAATATCATATAGTAGTTTTCGTATACATGAGTACACACTTCCAAAACTACCTCTTTATATCGACCCTACTTTTCAACCTTTATTCGCATTCCACATTTTAAGTTTTGTAACCAATTTAGTATATTTTAGTACTATTCGGATCCTTATAGTTCGATTTTCGAAAAAAAAACCTTTTGGTACATCTATTGTACACTCCATCAATGACCCTCAATACAAATCTAGCTCTACCGGTTCGCCAAATACAAATGGTGCATAATGTAGTACTTTTCATGCCGTTCTAGAACGAATTTCAAAAACCCTGGCCTTATCTGACACCTTCGAACTAAGAATAACCTTCACCTCAAATTTTAAGATTGATGAATCGTTAAGTCTGCCAATCAATTACTCATTCATACTACTTTTTTTATTTTTTGTGTGGTTTACAAAAGCATAAGTTTGTATATATTAGGGACTACCCTAATATACTCAGACTTATGTTACACACGAATGCATTAACGACACACTGTGATCAGCGACATTGTCATTATCGTCATCATCATTAGTTGTTAGTTGAGCGCCGAGTGGATGGATATGAAATTGCAAAATGTATTAATAGCCTGACGTTGGATGTCAGGGAATGACTGTCGTCGTCGTCTTCTTCTTTTACGCCACATTTTCCAGGAGAAAATATCACGAATTGCATAAATAAGTGATGATGTCTTTTTGTTTAAAGCAAAGCTATTTCTTTTTTTTTTTCTTTCAAATATATACATGCATGGTGTACATGTGTGTATTCCACATCAGAAGGTTAAAGTTCATCACAAGCTGTAAGCGCTGAATCTTCAACGACTTGTTGTGTGTGCATCGATGATGGTCGTAATGATGCTGTATGCTGGAGACGATACTCGTTGCTGTCACACAACACTTTGCCAACTTTTTTTGCTAACGATGTTGCTAATGTGCAAATGAATTGTTAAGAGTAGCTACTCCTTTTCTGCCGACTTTTCATTTAGCTTATAAAAAATTTTTGTACGCACGAATATTTGCAACTCT